ATGCTCTGATGCCAGTCTGATAGTAGCAGAATGCCACCCCTTTTCTCTCAGGCCTGGTTGGAGTCCCAGCTACACCCTTGTTGCCTCTGACCTTGGCCGATTCACTTCCTTTTTAAGCCTCAGTCTCCTCGTCCATTAAATGGGGATGTTTATGCCTGTTTCGCCAAGTTCTTATAAAGATCTGATGCCAAACACTTGGCATAGACAGGGCTCAGCAGAGTAGCCATGTCGGTGTAAAGGGCACAGGCCTCAGTACAGGGCAGGGCACTGATGCTATGGCCACTGCCACGCCTGTGCCCCTTGGTTATCAGAATGTAGGATCCAGGAGCAGAGAAGCAGCCAACCGGGTGGGACTGGAGCTCAACCTAAGGGCAGGGTCTGCTGGGTGGCAGCCCGTGTGCCATTTCAGTGGGGGATGGGAGGGATTCTGTCACCACTGTCCAGGGCAGCAGCTGCTGAGAACTATTCAGGGGAGGCAGATAGGAATGTGGGCACCATGCCAGGCCCCGCAGCCTCCCTCCGGAGCTGGAGAAAAGTGCTGAGCTCCCAGCCTGCTGGATGGCACTGGCTTCCCGAGCAAGTCCCACATGGGGCTCTCAGTCCGGTCCCCCAAGCCCGAGAAAGGGGCACTCTATGGACCAGGGAGAAGCGGGAAAGAAAGCTGCCAGCCAGTGGAGTCCTGAGGTCCACCCACCATGTGACCTCAGGCTGCTGGCTGTCCTCGCTGGTCCCAAATCCCTCCATAATAGGAAGCAAATGGAGACTCTGGGTGGGTCTTGGGCGTGACCGCCCTTCTCCTGGACCCTCTGAGCCTTTCCAGCTGAGGAAAAGGCCTCAGGAGGAGAGTCTGCTCACCTGTACACTTCCGTGCTCAGGTTGCAGGGATCTTTCTATTGGGCCTAGTAGGAAAGGAGGTAGGACCAGGCTGGTCCCCGTGAGCCTTTCCCGAGCCCTGCACCATCAGGACCAGAGCCCCCAGGAGAATGTGTATTTTTTTAATCAGCATTACCAATATCACCTTTTTTTTTTCATACTGGGGATCGAACTCACGACCATGTGCTTGCAAAGCAGGCGCTTATGCCGCTGAGCTAAATCCCCAGCCCCAACATCACCATTCTTAAATATTATATGTGTAAAGTACTTAATGGAGTGAGTATCAGGGTGTTGTGCCACGCACCTGTAATCCTAGCACTCTGGAAAGCTGAGGCAGGAGGATTGCAAGTCTAGCCCATGCTGAGCAGCTTAGTAAGACCCTGTCTGAAAATGTACATGTAAAAAGACCTAAGAATGTAGCTTAGTGCAAAGGCCCTGGGTTCAATCCTTAGTGCTGAAAAAAAAATTCATATAACAACCATTGTTATAGTAATGAAACTGACAGATTTTTAAGTACCTACTATGAACTGGCCATTTTATTTCCCTACCTGCATTTACCCGTTACAGCACTAACAGCAGTAATTCTTGGTCCCGTTAGCATGTATCCATGTGTCCTGCACGCCTGGCCCTGAGCTAAGGTGTAAAGTTTCCGTCATCTCTCTGAGTCTCATCTCAGTTCTTTGATGTGCGTGGGGAAATTGAGGTTTTTGGGTTTAGGTGCCCAGGTGACCGGCCAGCAGGTGGCAGAGCTGGGGTTTGGATCCAGGTCTGTCTGAGCACAGGCTTCAAGGCCTTCTGCCATGGAGTTAACCCTGAACCTGGCTGAGCCGGGGCCTGGGCCACATGGTGGGAATGGTCCCCCGCTAAGACCCCCTTCTCCCAGGGCACAGACGTCTCCCAGCCCTCTGTCACCTGGCCTTGGTGATGGATGTGTTGGCACTGGAGCCAGCCCCTGCATTGTCCCCCTGGGCGCCCAGCCTGCCAGGGAGGGAACCCAGCCCCAGTAATTGATTGGTCCTTGATTGATACAAGTGGTGGTTGAAACCACCGTTTGAACCTCAGCCCAGCCAGACCTGGGAGCTGCCAGGAACAGAGGAATTCACAGCCTAAGCCTCCTTCCAAGTTTAGACACTTAAACCGCACTTCCTCTGAGATTGAGTTGCTGGTGGCTTTGGAAAAAACTCTTACACGGGAGCAGCACAGACAGCTGAGGCTCTGGGGCCTGAAGGGAAGCAGCGTGGGGCGACCCGGCCTGGGTCTGAGTCCCTGGGCTGCTGGCCCCCACCTAACCCTGGCTGTGCAGGGCTGTGGAGCTCAGGGGCTGTGGACACAAAGCCTGGCCCTTGAGGCGGGCTTCTGGTCACAGGCTGGCTCTGTGGGCCAAATCTTTGCAAATTTCTCAGCGAGTCTGAGCTCAGTCAGTCCTCAAGGTGACCCTGTGAGGGACACTGTCATATCAGGGCTTCTAACCCTCAATGCCACAGGCCTTTGGGGCTGGGTCACCTGTGGTGGGGACTGTCCTGTGTACTGTGACATCGAGCAGCCTCCCGACCTCCATCCCTGGAAGCCAGGAGCGACCTCTCCCCAGAAAGAGATCACAAATACCCGCAGCTGTGTTATGCCCACCCTGAAGAACCCCTGGGCTGTGCCAGTGTAGCCTGGCTCCCCACTGACCTTGACCTACCTTGGAGCCCAAGTCCAGAGAGAAATGGGAGCCTGGTATGCCCCAGGGACCCTTGGTGGGGGTGGGGGTGGCCTGCGTGACGCACCAGCCCCACCCCTGAGTCCCTCCTGGCAGAAGCCTCCAGCCCCTCCTGGCCTGTCTGCTCCCACCCAACCCTCTCCCCCGGGGTGGGACCTGTGTTTCCTCCAGGGTTGCTAAGTCCCATCGTTTTGTGCTGTGGCTCCCAACCCCTGACTCACTTGCTTGGAAACTATTTATACCCCTTGAACAAATGCTCCCCTCTGCTCCGGCAGACTCGGTCTGTGTTCTGCAAGCAGCCCAGGGACACAGGCAGGGGGCTGGGCACAGAGCAAATGCACCTGTTTATGAGCGTGATGGATCTGGGGTGTAGGCCCAGCTCTTTCCTGACTGCTGTGTGACCTCGGGTGGCTCACCTAACCTTTCTGAGCCTCTGTAAGCTAGGATTATTACAGGGCTTAAGCAAATGAATTTTCCAGCACAAAGGCAGATGCAGGAAGCAGCTGCTGTGAGGGGTGCAAAGATTATGTCTAACTAGAGAAGGGAGCAGGAGCTGGGAACCCAAAGATGGCCCAGGAACAAGACGTGTGTTTGTGTAGGATGTCCAAGTCCCCAGGACATAGGTCTCCAGAGACCTGGCCTGTCTGTGTCATGCTGCTGTCACCAGCAGCGCTGTCACTCAGCCAGCTGGAGGGCTGAGGGCCTGCACGAATTCTCATTAGGCACAGGAAAGCCTGTTTGCCAGCCCCCGCCCCAGCTGTCCTCGGAGCCAGGCAGGGCAGGCTTTTGGACCGCCTGGTAAGAAGGCTGTGTGCTCCAGGCAAAGCAACACCTCCCCCTGCAGGGGACAGGCCTGCAGGCCACCTCAAACCCCTCCACAGGCACACGCACACATACGTGCGTGCATTTCAATGCCCACCCTGACCCTGACTGCCAGGTAGTTTAGGAGTAGAAGAGGGAAGGGAAGGGTACAGGCCAGATGTCTTGTATCACTATCCTGGTGCCAGGCTGCCAGGGTCTCTGCCACTCCCTGGGGCCCAGGCACAGTTTATTCCCTGGCCACACCCTAGCCCTGCCCCTCTCACTCTGACCCTTGGCCCTGCCTCTGCTCCACTGCTTGACAAAGGCGCAGAAAAGAAACCCACAGGAAGAGGCGGCCCTGCCTTGATTCTTAGGTTATTTATTCATTCAACACTTGCAGTGCCTGTTAGTGCTATTCCAGGGCCTTTGCATAAGCTGGGGGCCTGAAGTTTGATCCCCAGCCCAGAAAAACAAAAAGGCCACCTTTCACAGCCTTTAGCCTGTGCTTCTCAATTTGGGGGTGACTTTGAACCCCAGAGAACATGTCCTGATGCCTGGGAGACACATGCACACCACGCTGCAGTCAGACAAAATCACCCACCTTAGCCCACAAGCTCTGCCACCAGAAGTGGAGCTGGGGAGTAGGCTGAGAGGTCCCTCAAGTGTTCATAGGGATGCACATGGCTAGGAGCTGCCAGAGGTGATCAGAGCTAGGTCCACACTCTGTAGAATGTGGATTCTGTCTCACCGCTCATCCAAGTCATGTCGGTCCAGAGTGGCTGTGGTTTCAGCTTGTGCTACAGCCTGGGCGCAAGGTTAGCTTCGGTGAACATGCAGGAAGGAGCTGCAGGCCAAATGGTCATTTCCTCCTCATTAGAAATAACCAAGCAGGAGCAGAGCCCCGCAGCAGGTCTCTGTCTGGTCTGAGGTCTCATCTAGCCTTGACAGATGACATTGATAAGGGGCCTCCGAATGATACAGAGAAATACAGTAGCTCCCAGCCTGCAGGATGTCTGATATACCGAGTCCCCCAAAGTCAAAAAATGAATTCTGAGGGACCATGGAGGTTAAGAGTAGGAAACTTTATTTAGGGTGAGACAGCTCCCAAGAGAGATGGGAGGGGACCTGGAAAGTGGGCTGCCAAGGAGTCCACTGCTCAAAGGATAAAGCAAGACCACGAGGTGGATATGACACGGGACAGAGCTCTGATTCACCAGTAAGATTGCAGGCATAGACACCTCAGTACCGTTGATCGTGGGAAGGCAGTAAGTTGGTGGAAAGAAGGACCTTTTTGGAAGAGACAGGACAGGTGGTCCTGGCCACCCAGCTGGAGCTGTTGAGAATATGGATTGTAGTTTGTTTGTCCCTGGGGAGGCATGCAGGTGTGGTCGCTCCGCCTTTATCTTGGAGCCTGGCCTTCAGCAAATGTGCCTCCACCCACAGCTGTGTTGTGTTTTTATCTTCTGCACCGACTCCTTCGGTATTTCTTCTTTAGCTGTCTATAGTGACATGATGGGGGAGCGCCCCCTGAGCCCCTGGGATCCCTGCCCCAATCCTGTGGAGCCTCTGGCCGCCAGCTATAAAGGATGCCAAGGAGTCCTCAGGCCCCTCTCTGCACCCACAGGTACGACACCGGGCGCGATGGCTTCATCGATCTGATGGAGCTGAAGCTCATGATGGAGAAACTTGGGGCTCCCCAGACCCACCTGGGCCTGAAAAACATGATCAAGGAGGTGGATGAGGACTTTGACAGCAAGCTCAGCTTCCGGGAGGTGGGTCCTGCTGCAGCCCTCTCCCCGAGACTGCAGCCCGAGGGCTTAGTGGCCTGGGAGACACCTGCCCCGTTTGTCCCTGAGAGATGGGACTGTCTGCAGTACTGGGTCCTCACCCTGAGACAGGATGAGGACCCTGTGCTCATCCAGCACCCTGGATGACCTGTGCTCCGGGAGGAAATGGGGTCTTAAAGCCAGAGAGCAGTGCCATACGACCCTAGGGAGTATGGGGAGGCCTGCAGGGGGCGCCCTGGGAGAGTCCTGGCCTGGGGGAGCCCTTCAGAGCCGGAGGTCACAGGTTCCAATCCTGGCACTGAGATGGCAGGCAGCTGCGTATTAGCGCCTTCCTTGAAGAAGAAACCAATGGAATATCTGGGGGCCGCTAGGAGATGAAAAGTGGAGGTGGCTGTTAGCAGGGGCTAAATGTGGACAAAGAAGAGGTCCCCCGTTGTGCAGATGGCCAAGCTGAGGCCCAGAGAGGGAGGCCAAGGGCACGGATGGGTGACACCAGCTCTTCAACTCCCAGTCTAGGCAGGCTAGAGGCCAGCCTGGTGCAGCAGGGACTTTGACTCCTGTGGCTCCCTCCTGACACTCACGATCTTCCCCCTGCAGTTCCTCCTGATCTTCCGAAAGGCAGCTGCCGGGGAGCTGGAGGAGGACAGCGGGCTGCACGTGCTGGCCCGCCTCTCTGAGATCGATGTCTCCACCGAGGGCGTCAAGGGCGCCAAGAGCTTCTTCGAGGCCAAGGTGAGGCATCTGAGGACCACGTGCCTCCGGGCAGCTGTGCCCCAAGCCCGAGTGCCACCCCTTCCTGTTCACACCAACTGCCTGCCAGGTTGGATGTGCCCCATTCAGGGGCAGGGGCATGGGAGACAGCAGGGCAGGTCCCCGGGGAAGCTGACCCTCAGTCCCAGTTTAGAGAGAGCCAGGGGGTCCCAGATTCTAAATGGAGAAACTGAGGCTCAGAGAGGCGATGGCAGCTCACCACGGGGCAGAAGGCACCAGCGCGGAGGCCCTACCCGCTCTGATCCCTCCCCGCCCAGGTGCAGGCCATCAACATGTCCAGCCGCTTCGAGGAGGAGATCAAGGCTGAGCAGGAGGAGAGGAAGAAGCAGGCGGAGGAGATGAAACAGCGGAAAGCGGCCTTCAAGGAGCTGCAGTCCACCTTCAAGTAGTGCGGCCGCAGCCACCACCGGCCCTGCCGGGCCCAGTGGGCAGGCGGGGCAGGCACACGGGAGGCCGGCCGGAGCACTACTAACCCTGACGTGCGAACGGAGCTAGTCCAGGGCTCTCACGCTCTCCCTGGCCACTGCCTGCTCCTTCTGCTGATCCCACAGCTGCGACCCCAGCACCACCCCTGCCGGGCCCAGCCCTCCCTGCAGCCCTGCGCCTCACACTCCTGGCCCAAGGCTCCTCTACGCCTGTGTACCTGTCCTTCTCACCCATCCCATCCCATCCTCCTGCACTAACCTGCAGGCTGCCCTGCCTGGGGCCCCTGACAGCCCCGTACCAGATGGGGACAGCAAAGATCAGGGCTGTCCGCTTAGAGCAGGACCCAGAAGACTCTGCCCCAGGGCCCTCCAGCTCTGCCCCTCAGTCTGCCGGGATGGAAGGGCTTCTATTTTGGTAAGGGGACCTAGGCCATGTTACCCTATGGGGACGTAGAGATGGGGCCCAGCCAGGCAGGGTGAGGAGCCGCTGTGCCCATCTACCTCATGGGCCCACACTCTGCCAGGCCTACCATGGGATCATGGGTGGAAGACTTGGGGTGCAGAAACACTGCTCCCCGCCACCCCGTGCATATCCTGAAGGTCCCAGGGGAGCTGCGGAGAGAAGCTCGAGAGGAGGGACTGGGGCCCCCCCCAAGGTGGGCTGGAAATGTCTGCACAGACACCGGGAGCAGGGCCTGGCCCCTTTTGCACCCTCCTTCCTGAGTGACACCCCCAGCTTTGTCACCAGCGGCTCCTGCCTGTCACACCCACCCCTAGGAAGCATGGGGACCCGCGTGCCATGGCCAGATGGGCATGGCCAAGCCCCCCGTGTGCTTGCTCACGTGTACCCATGTGTGTGTCTGTGTCTCTTGCCGTGTGTATCGTGAAACTGTGACCGTCACCCAGTTTGGACAAGTCAGCGGCCGTCAAGGCCACCGTTATGCAGCATTCAGTGTGTGTCATGACAGCATCACTGCTTTCTAACTCGATCGATGACCCTTTATTTTAGTACTGCGCCCCAGGAGCCCCGGAGCTCCCAAAGGACTCAAGAGGTTTTATTTTTTGGCCTCAGAACCTGCAGGACGTGGGAGGGGCCGGCCCGAGGGTGGCCTTCGCCCTGGATTGCGTTTGCCTTAGCGGATATGTTTATACAGATGAATATAAAAATCTCCTTTTTCTTTGTGCTTTTGGCTTTTTATATTTTTCTTCATTTCCTTCACCCCCCACCCCCAAAAGCTACTTCTTCATTTGGTGGTACGATTATTTTTTTTAACTAAAATAAGATAAAATTCTATATTCTTAGGTGTGTGTGGTTCTTGCTGGTGAGTGGGGTGGGATGGGGCTGGGAGAGGAAGGGACAGCCTGAGGTCACCTCAGTGTGAGGTGGACGTGTCCCAAGCGTGGGGAAGACGGGACTCTATGGAGAAATTTTGCCTACAAGAAGCCACCATATTCTTGCAAAGCTCTGTGGGTATTAATCCTCCAGCCACCCCCTGACAAGGGTGCAGGTTTATTCCTCTGATGCAACGGGGCTGGGCAGCCTGCACCTCGCCTGGAGGTCACCGAGGAGAGGGTGCAGCTCCTGGCATCCCTCTCACCCTTGCTTTTTTCACCTCTCCGACGGAAACAGCCGCGCTGATCTCATGGTGGTTAGCGCTGGACACACCGTCCACCCGAGGAGGGCGGGACAGTCAATGTTCACTCCGCATCCCTAAGAGGCAGGAGCGCTGCAAGGTTCGGAATTGACGTGCCACCCCACCCCATCCCCCATCTCCCACCCTAGCCATGCACAGGCATCTGGAAGCACCCGGGGGTGGAACCCGAGGCTCTCTGTGCGGGTCTGGACAGACCAGGCTCCCACCAAGCCGCGGGTCCAGTACCAGCGCATAGCGGGGTCTGCAGGCCTCTCCGAGGGCAGGTGGGGGAGGAAGAGCGGGGGTTAAACTGGGCACCGCTGCCCCCCGGGTGGCCGTGGCTGGTACTGCAGCGCCCTCGGGCTTCCTCCCTGCCGTGCCTGGGGAAGGCTGGAAGGAAGCTCCTTTGTGGGGTACAGCACCCCACGCACGTGCCACGTGCCGCGCCATGCCTGAGAAGCCACCATCAATCCAAGGCGAGGCGATATGCCCCCTCTCAGTCCACCTTGCCCAAAGGAAGGACCTCAATTCCTAACCTGCTGGGCATGGCTGAAGCTGCAGAGCCACCCCCAGCCGGCCTGGTGCTGGACGCAGCCTGGAGTCCAGGGGGTCAGAGACGGAGCTGCCGTCCCAGGCCAGAGCCTGGCAACACCCCGCTGCCAGCCCTGGCCCTGGCCGGGAGGTGCTGAGAATGAAGAGGCCAGCAGTGATCCAGGGGCCAGGAAGTGGGGGGCCCCTCAACCCCCCCCCCAGGTTGCATCTTCCTCTAAAGCCTCCCTGAGCCCCCCTGGGGCCCAGCCCCATCGCCAAACACCGAACTAAACTTAGTGTCCCCAGGGCCCTCTCGTCCCCTGCGGCTTCCATCTGCTTTGGAGGAGACATCCCGCCAGCCCCAGCCCCCTCCACGGGCCTCATCCAAGAGGCAACAGCTGCCACCCGAGTTCTGTCCCAGCGCCCGCACACAGGGCCCTGTCAGCGGCACTTGCCGGATTCCCAGGCCCTCACCCAACCTTGGCACTGCTCTGCCAAGGCCCCAGGGCACCATCTGACAGACCTCTGCCACATTTCTCTTGCTTATTTTTCCAGTACTGCCTGTCCTTGACAGCTCGGTGACGCTGCTGTCGCAGGTCCTGTCGCAGATCCTGGGAGGCCTTGCTCTGGGCCCTGGAGACCTTGGGGCTCAGCTGGGTGGAGTGGGATTCCTTGTGCACAGGGAGTCCTTGGACTGAGCCGTGGCTCTAGGCGAGGGCAGTTTTCGCCTGCTTACCCAGGGCTTGCTGGACACGCTGTGGGCCCAGAGGAGATACAGGGATGACCCATATCAGACCCCCCACCTCAGGCCATCCTTCTGGTCACAGATGACCTCACACGGGACCACTGTCTACTTGGCAGGTACAGGAACTGGTGTCCCAAGCCCATGTTTAAAATAGTAGAAGTTCTTTAAAATCTGTAGAAGAAACACAACTTTATATTTATAGGGTCATAAAATATTTTGAGGAAGGGATCGAAGAAGGCTAACGTGCCTAGTGATAGTTTAGTTTCTCTAATTCATTTTCTGTCTGTCTCTGCCTGTCTCTGTGTCTGTCTGTCTGTCTGTCTCTCTCTCTCTCTCTGTCTCTGTTTTTCTCTCTCTCTTTCCATACTAGAGACCGAGCACAGGGCCACTCTACCTCTGAGCTACATTCCCAGCCCTTTTTAATTTATCTCAAGACAGAACCTTGCTAGCTGCTAAGGCTGGCCTTGAACTTCGAATCTTCGTAGCTCACCCTCTCAGAGAGCTGGGTTATAGGTGTGTGCCACCATGCCTAGCTTGGACTCGAACTTTCTCAGAAGCACTAGATCAGAACCCCAATAACAACAGTAAACCCTATATAGTTTCCACCTTATGTCAGACCCTCCTCAAACAGACAGCCCTAGGAGGCAGGGCACTTTTTAAAAGACAGGGTGGCCTTGAATTCACTATGGAGACCAGGCTGGCCTCAACTCATGATCATCCTCCTGCCTCAGCCTCCCCAGCACTGGGATTGCAGGCGGGCTACCTCCACTTTGATAGATGAGGGACTGGAAGGCCAGAGGTTAGGTCACCATCACTGGGTCACAGCGGGACAGCCGCAGCGCGGGTTTCTGTTCCCTCATGGAGTACCCCAGTGCTGCGGGAGCCCTCAGCATCTGTGGCAGAGGAAGGTGGTCTCGGATGTCTCTCAGGATGGTTGTTTGGTGTTGCCTTCCAGAAGGTTCCCAGCTAGTAGACATCTCCAAACAAGGAAGTTGCCCCGAATCACAAGCAGCCTGCAACCCCCTTACCTCCCACCTCACAAAAAGGCTCAGTTTTTCTGTGAACCCTATGACTGCCTGTGTTATGTTAACAGGTTGCACAGTGGATAACCAGGTCCTTTCTGTGGGTGACATGGGCGTGTGAGCACCCCTGGATCCAGAGTCCCTCATGTGTGCACGTGTGTGAGACCCAGAGAGGTGACCCAGGGGCTGAGGTCCATCAGTCACTGGTCAGAACGGAGACTAGGTATCCTGTCTCCTGTCACCAGACTCCTGACCCCTTGTTCAGTGTGCAACTCAGGCAACAGTGCAGAGGTGAGCCAGGCAGCTTCCACCAAGCCCTCTACCAGGGGCAGCCTCTGCAGTGAACAGGGCCCACAGCCCAAGACCCGGGTGCCCAGGTCCCCATGCCGCTCCTGAGGGGCACCGGACAGGCAACTCAGAAAAAACTTCCAAGGGGAACTGAGGGTGAATGGAAAGGGTAAGGGATTGCAGAATCTACCAGACAAGCTCAAATTGGGCCTTAGGGCAAAAGAATGAAATAGAGGCTCCAGGGAAGCATGTCGATGCACACTTGTAACTCCAGCATTTTGGGAGGCTGAGGCAGGAGAACTGCAAGTTCAAGCCCAGCCTGGGCCACTTAGCAAGTTAGCAAGACTGTCTCAAAATGCAACATTTTAAAAGGACTGCAGTTGTGGCATGGTGTAAAGGCCCTGGTTCAGTCCCCACTACTGTAAACAGACAAATAACAGCACAAGCAAAACCAAATCCTCAGAGGAATGGGCCGACTGCAATCTGCCAGGCATCTGCCTCAGACTGAAGCACACACAGCTATTTGTTCCACCCCAAGCACCATAAACCCAGATCTGCCGCTGGCTTTGATGCTCCACTCACTGCGAGCGGCTGGTTCTATCTGCCCACTTTACAGATGGGAAGGCTGAGGGCCTACATCTAAGCTGGCTGTGAGGAGGAAATCAGCCCACCAGGCACCATCCAGGGTCACCTAAGCATGAGCATTGTCCTTTCCCTAGAACAGAAGCAGGAGAGCCCCAAGTCCAGGGGATATGAGCCAGGAGAGAAAGAAAGTCACAGCGCTGTGGAGACACACAAGGAGACAGGACCTCAGCAGCAGGAGGCGCAGGCCGGTGCTGGGGGTCTGACCTCAAAGCCCAGCTGTGCTGCTAACTCAACGGTCACCTGCTGCTCTGAATCCTCTTTAAAAAGTGAAAAGTAGCATCTGCTTCATGTTGCTGGAGAATTAAATGAGATCGTACAAGAAATAGCACAGCCTGGCCCATTCCTAATAGATGCCCGATAAACAATACCTAAAGAGAATGAGGTACGGAGGGGAAACAAGGGTGCTTACCCAGCACCGCTAGGCAGCTCCCCACGAAATGCAGACCCTTGGAAACTGCTGTCATGGGACATTTGGAAAACTTTGCATCCAAGCCAGCCTTGTTTTCTGCCCAAATCAAACAATAACCACCCAAGGTCAGGGCATGGCTGGTTTCTCTCCCAGGGTGGCCTGGTCACGCCCTTCCAGCCTATAAAAGCCCTTCGGGTCCCCAGGGTCCCGCAGCCCCACCAACCTGCACCATGCTGGGCCTCACTGTCCTCGCCGCACTCCTGGCCTCTGGTAAGAGGGGTGGGGGGACCCCGGCAGCCTATGGGCTGTGACTTGGGCTGATCCGTGCCCGGGGCCCTCAGCTCTGCAGGAAGCGCACTTTGGGGTCCAGGGCAGACCCTGCTGCAGGGCAGCGGTTTGCCTGTGAGCTGCTGCCCTGCAGGACAGGGCACACCGGTGTCTTCCCCAAAGGGCTGAGGCAGGGGGACGAGATGGGGGAAGCCCAGGACGTAAGTGTCATCTTTTGCAGCCGTCGTTACCCCTGCCCCATTTCGGAACCAACATCCCAGCTTAAACTCCTTCACTCTGCAGGAGTTTTCAAGTCCCTGGGCCTCTCTCCAACTCACTGGCTTATTGGGCAAATTGAGCACTTAATTAGGAGTCCTCTCAATCAACAACAGCAACGACAACAGTAGTAATAGCAACTCTTGTTTCTGGTGCCTCTGCTTTGTCCCAGGTTCTGGGCTGGAGCTAATCAGAACCTCAAGGCAACCTGGAAAGACAGGGTCCGTGTGTGTCCCCATTTCACAGATGAAGACACTGAGGCTCAGCAAGTCTCAGTGTCTACTCAGTACCACATGGATGGGTATGGGGGAGCCAGGTCTCTCTCCCCTCAGAGGACTCTGAATTTCATACCCTACTGTCTCCATAACGCTCTGCCCTTAAAAGGGACCAAAGGACACAGGTATGCCCAGACATGCACCTGTGACAGCCACCTGTTGTCCCCTTCGCTGTCTGCTCTCTAATCGCCTGGTCTGATGTCGTTCTCAGGACAGACTCACCGAGTTAGCACCCTTCCTCCCCCGCTCCACAGGAAGGGAAGTCAAGGTCCTGAGACCTAGGTGCCCTTCCCCGCACCACGTGCTAAAAGTCCCCCCCTGCCCGCACCCTCACCTGTGTCCCCTCCTGTCCCCCAGCCTCCAGCTGTGGAGCCCCCACCTTCCTGCCCGACGTGTCGGCCAGGGTGGTCGGGGGAGACGACGCCGTCCCCCACAGCTGGCCCTGGCAGGTGAGCGAGGTGCAGCCTGGCGGGAGGGGTGCGGGTGACGCACGTGAGGGCTGACGTGAGATCCTCCTTCCGCCCAAAGATCTCCCTGCAGTACCTCAGGGACACTGAGTGGAGACACACATGTGGCGGCACCTTGATCAGCAACCAGCATGTCCTCACCGCAGCCCACTGCATCAGGTGAGTGGACGCCACGCCAGGGACCTGGCCATCACCCTGGGCAGGGGTCGGACCCAGCTGCTTTTATTGAGCACCTACTACACACTCCACTGAGCACTGGGCTCAATGAGCTATTTACTTTCAGCTACTCAGTTGTTCATTTATGCGGTCAACAGACATCCCTTGTGCACTTACCTTGTACCAGGAAACGCAGCAGAGAAGATAAAGTCAGAGAAAGAATTAAGGTAGTAAATATATCGCATAGCAGGTGATAGTGAAGACGCATGAGGCCAGGAGAGATGGAGGAGTCTCCACCTTAAGTGAGATCGCGGGGGATGTATGAGCAGAGGCATGGAGGAAGGAGGGGAGGAGGCGTGGGTCTAGGGGAAGGGAAGGCGGCCCAGAGGGCAAGAGCAAAGGCAAAGGACAGTGCCCAGAGCAGAGTGGCAGGAACAGTGTCTCAGGCAGAGGAAAGGAGAGGTGAGTGCCTCAGGTCTGTGTAAGAACATAGTGCTCGACCTCGGGGTTCAGAGCCAGGAGGGGCCGGGTGGGCATCGTTTTATTTTGTCTTGTTTACTTTTAAGGCAAGGTCTCAGTATGCAGTTCAGGCTGCCCTTGAACTCACTATCTAGCCCAGGCTGGTCTTGAACTTGTGTCGATCCTCCTACCTCAGCCTCCTGAGTACTGACATTACAGATGTGCACCACCACACCTGACTCGCCTTGCTGTCTATTTAAGAAACTCACGCAGCTGAGTTGAGGACAGGCTACAAAGAGCCCAGGCAGCTGGGGATGTGTCTCAGCTAGAGTGCTTACCCAGAATCCCCGAGGTCCTCGGCTCAATCCCCAGCACTGCACGAAAAAAATTAAACCTGTTAATGACAAATTTAGTTCATGCACCAGCCCTGCAGGAGGAGTGTAATCGTGTGCTGCAGACATATCCTAATATCCATGGGGGCGGGAGGAAGCCAGGGGGGAACAGAGGAAGTGAGGAAGCTTGTAGGCCATGGAGACAGACACTGGGAGGCCAAGCAGCTGGGCCTCAGTCACCCGCAGGGATCCTGGGACCTGAGTCCCAATACTGCCCCACTTTCCAGATCAGAAAACTGAGGCCCTGGCAGCCCAGGGCTCGCATCTTTTCCCATCATCCTCCAAAAGGTCACGATGAGGGGCTGGGTCATGCAGTCCCCTGACACGCTGGCTTCACCTTGACCGTGTCCCCTTCCGCCACAGCAAGGACCTCACCTACCGAGTGGCCCTGGGCAAGCATGACCTGACAGTGGAGGACGAGCCGGGCTCGGTGATCGTGGGTGTGGACAGCATCCACGTCCATGAGAGATGGTTCAGTCTCCTGGTGCGGTGAGTGCGGGCCGGGCCGGGGGTGGGGAGGAGAAGCGGCAGAGGCTAAGTGCAGACAGCACCTCCCATCTGGGTGCTGGCAGGTCCCTCCGAACCCCAGAGCCCCAGAGCGTCTCTCAGAGACCGCCCAGCCCGAGGCCGAGCCGGGGCCCCTGTGCAGTGTGGCCTGTCTCCCAGCTGCACAACGGCCGGGGACACAGAAGTGACTCAGAGAGGGTCAGGACAAGGTCCTGGCTCCCACAGCACAGTGCAGGGCAAAACTAGGGCCCAAACTGGGTCTGTCGAGGGGTGCCAGCATTTGTTCTGGTAACTGAAATATGGAACTGGCATGTGGTGCCAGGCGCAGTGGTGGACGTTTGTAAGCTCAGCTACTTGGGAGGCTGAGGCAGGAGAATCACAAGTGGGGAACTCAGTAAGACCCCACCTCAAAAATAAAAATTAAGGGCCAGGGATTTAGCTCAGCGTCACAAGCGCCTGCCTTGCCTGCACGAGGTCGTGAGTTCGATCCCCGATACCAAAAATAAATAAGTAAAATTTAAAAATTTTTTTTAAAATTAAAAATAATATAAAAACACAAATTTAGAAAAGGGAGTGGATGTACTTTAGTGGGTGCACAAACAAGAGGCCCTGGATTCAGTGCCCACTTCAGGGAAGAAATTAAAAAGGGATCTTCAGCCGCCTTTCGTGTTCCACGGCAATCACAGCCCGCCGAGGTGGGCGCCGGGCACCTCCCACTCCGGCATCCCCGCTGAGCCTCTCACCCACCACGCCAGGGCCAAGAAGGAGAAGCATGGGCGCCAGGGCGGTCACTTGTCCTCGGACATCTCAACTGGCCGACCAGAGGCCAGCGGTCAGGGTGGTCTCGGAGGACACCGCGCACCTCACCTGGTCCCCAGGCCCTCCTTCTCACCCCACACTCTGAATTCCAGCAACGACATTGCCCTCATCAAACTGGCGGAGCCCGTGGAGCTGAGTGAGACCATCCAGGCGGCCTGCCTCCCTGAGAAGGGCTACCAGCTGCCAGATAACTACCCCTGCTATGTCACCGGCTGGGGCCGCCTGTGGAGTGAGTACACACACACACACACACACACACACACACACACCGGGAAGTCCCAAGAGCACACTTCCCCCGCTTCCTCTCAGCTGGAATGTGCTCATCTCTCTTTAACTTCTGTAATAGTAATAGCGAATATTTATCAGGCACGGGCCATGTGACAGACCTGACAAGTACCCAGAATGGGGGTCCTAAGGAGCTAACACATGAGAAATGCAAATAGAGAGGGCTTGGCACCCACCATAAAAAGAAACTACGATCAATCGTGCAGGGTTGGGGGATCGGATCATGTGATTCTCCAGCAGGCCTAAGAAACTTCAACCCAGTGCTAAGGTTAAGTGCAGACGCCTCGGAGGGAGACACAGCTCCATCCCTGCACTGGCAGAGGGAGAAAAACCTGGAAGGTGGTTACCAAAGCCCAGACCCACCTGCAAGTAACTGGCAAGTAAAGCCCTTAGACTCCGGCAGCTGGAGACGGCGCTCAGTGCAAGAGTGCTCGCCCAGGAGGCACAGGCCTGGCTCCATCCCCAGCTCCATCCCCAGCTCTAAAAGAAGAAGCCAGGCTGCGTATCTGAGACTGCAGCCCTCTGAGAGGCTGAGGCAGGATAACTGCAAGTTCAGGCCCAGCCTGGGCAAGTCAGCAACTCAGACTCAGTCTCAAAATAAAAAAATACAACAAAGAGGTGGAGTGTAGCTCCGTGCAAAGGCCCTGGGACCTCAGTGCAAATCCTTAGCACAGTGGGGGGGAAAAGCCTCAGGACCTGGCAGCCTGCGCTCCTCTGCAGGCCTGGCCAGGTGGGAGCTGGCACCACTTGGCTGAGTCTCTGGTCACTGCCCTCTCTCCTCAGCCAATGGCCCCATCGCTGATGTGCTGCAGCAGGGCCTGCAGCCCGTCGTGGGCCACTCCACATGCTCCCGCTGGGACTATTGGGGCTTCCAGGTGACCAAAAACATGGTGTGCGCTGGGGGCGACGGTGTCATCTCCGCCTGCAATGTGAGTGTCCCGGCAGGGTGCTCCCCAGCCTCATTCTGGGTGGTTGGGAACAGGGAGGACACTAAGCAGGGTGCACAGGCAAACCCTTCCATAGGAGGTGGCTGAGACCCACACAGACCCAGCAGGCTTGGAGGAAACCTGTCCCCTCTACCTACCATCTGCCCCTGGCCAGCATGTAGTGAGACCCAGGGAGCTGAGCATGAGAGCTGAGCTCCAGTCCCAGGGCCGCCACATAGATGTCACCAAGGGCAGGGTGGTAAAGCTCTCTGAATCTCACTTTTCCCATCCATACAATGGGGCCACACTAACCACTTCCCAGGGGTGCCGTGAGGACTGAGTCTAAGAGCCACAGGAAAGGCATCAGGGAAGTCCTTGCCCATGGTCTGGCCCAATATCCACAACACCAGGCCTGGGGACAGGGGACTCTGGGTCTGGCCAGAACCTTGTAACACCAAGATAACAAGAGAATATCCTGTGTTCAAATGCACCACCTTCTCACCGTCCACCCACCTCACTTCCCATCCTGGGCAGCTCATGGAGGCTTAGGCACAGTGACCTGAACATCCAGGGAAACTGAGGCATGGGGAAGGCTGGCATCATCCCACGGTCAGGCGGCAAACCTAGCGCTCATCTGACATCCAGGGTCTCCCAGAAGGCCGAGCGGCCCCAGGCTGCATTTTCTCTGCCGTAGCCTGGCAGAGACCAAAACAAGGGCCCCGAGGCTGAGAGCCCAGCCCCAGCCCGCTGCCCCTGCCACTCTAAGGGAGGCCCAGGTTCACACTGCCACCTGTTGCAGGGCGACTCAGGAGGCCCGCTGAACTGCCAGGCAGAGAACGGCGTCTGGCAGCTGCAGGGCATTGTCAGCTTCGGCTCCTCGATGGGCTGCAACACCGTCAAGAAGCCGGCGGTCTTCACCCGTGTGTCCGCCTACATCGACTGGATCAACCAGGTGGGCACTGCCCTCTCACCCCACACTCCCTGCCCCTTGCCCGCAGCCCTCCCCCACCACCCCCTCCCCCTTTACGTGTGCCTTCCCCGCCCCTCCACATGGCTCTCTCTCCCAGAGTCCCTCACCCTGCCCTCTGCTTTTCCAGAAACTGAAGCTGTGATTCATCCAGGAGCCCTGGCCACCAACTCATGCAGCAATAAACCTCCTTTCCTTCAGCTGTCTGGACCTGATCTGTTTGTTGTCTCTCTGAAGCTGCCCCTCCCCACACCAAGGGGCAGAAAGGGACCCTCAGCCAGGGTCATAAGGCCCCAGAGGGGGCTGCTGGGGGCAGGGAGTAGAGGTTCCAGGGCCACGTGGGTAATCTGAGGGGACAGGGTTAAGGACCTTGAAAGCTGGGTGTAGGGCTACATACTTGTAACCTCAGCATTCAGGGAGGCTGAGACAGGAGGATCACAAACTCAAACCCAGTCTGGACAATTTAGCAATTTAGCAAGACTGTGTCTCAACATAAAAAATTACAAAGGGCTTGGGATACAGTGCAGAGGATCCAGGATCAATCTCTTGAATCACACACAGACACACACACACACACACACACACATACACGCACACATATACATGCACGCACAGGCACATGCATGCACAGAGGACACCATAGACCCTTGTGACCAAAGTGTACCCCGAGCAGATCTTGGCCCTGGCCAGGCTGGAAGATGGGGGTCTCTCCAAGGGCAGCCTCTCCCACCCAGAGAGGTCAGGCCACAGGAGACCCCAAGCTCAAAGACAGCCACAGCTGCTGTTGGCCTGAGCCCTGACCAGGGTTGGGCCCTGGAGGAGGAGACCCCAACTCTGCCCTCTGGGGGCACAGGAGGGGAGAAACAATGCCGTCCACAGGCATAGGATAAGCTTTCCCTGCATGAGACAGGCAGGGAAACTGAGGCCTAGAGGGAGAAAGAACTGGGCAAGGTCCCGGGCACAGCCAGACAGCAAAGCATGAGCTGCAAGGCCAATGGGAGGGTGCCAGGGACCAAATGTACAGGTGCCCAGTGTCCGGCAGGGACATTCAGTGGCTACTCTGTCCCTGGCCACTAGGGTCTCGGGTCCTGCTGAGAATGCACTGTTCCTCGAGGTCCCTCCACCCAGCCTCTGACCTCACGGGGCCCTGGCTCCAGACCCACTTCCCCATCAGACTGCGGCTCCAGGGCCAAGCAGGGCGGAGGGGAGGGGACCTTGGTGCATCTCCCACGCTCAGGACTCAAACAGATTCCCAGGAGTCAGCAATGGACCTATAGGGAGCCAGCACTAGCTCAGTAGGGAGCCCAGTGACAGTTCAGATGAGACCCTTGCTCCGCAGGACACACACCTGTGACAGAACATGGGATTCCCCAGCTACGCATGTGAGATCCTTAAACCAGTGTCCACTGGCAGCTGGAATCCAGGGTGGCTCTGTGGAAGTGGTGATGCCCAAGCTGAGTCTTAAACGTTTAATACAAGGTCCCCAAAGATTGTGGATGTGGCTCAGTGAGAAGGCCTTGGTTCAATATCTGATAACAAAAAAAGCAATTTTTAAAAGACAAAAAGCATTGTCCTCATTCTAAAGATAAGAAAACTGAGTCAGTGAGAGCTGCTAACTTCCAAACGTGGCTTAACTAGAAGGTAGCAGGGCTGGGATCTAAACTTTGGTGATCTGGCTCCAGGGACTCTACACCTGACTCCCACGCTCTACCATCCTGCAATGTGAGGCCAAGTCTGCTGAAAAAGCAGATGTTTCCCATAAAAGGGGTTTGGCCCAGCTGATGCTGTACTGTCCCTCCCTTGCCTTGAGTGTGGATGTGATGGCTGGAGCTAAGGCAGCCAATTTGTGGCAAGACAGTTGCTCAGAGGCTGGCAGTCAGATCTTAATATTTTGCTATTTGTGAAACAAATAAGAAAGAGATCTGTATTTGCTTCAGCCACCATAATAGGTTTTCAGATACTTGCAGTTCAGCACAGTCCTAACAGATACAAGAGGGGAAAACAGAAGGGGTCACTGTCCTGGTGGAGGGAAAGACATGAACCAAATCACAGCAACTGCAGGGCAGAGACTCAGCAGCAGGTGCTGCAGAGCAGAGCCCCAGATGGAGTAGGGAGACCAGGTGTCCTCATCTTCCTTAGTGAGGAGATTTCCAGGATTTGATCCTAAATCCAGAGTAGTCCCTGAGAGCCCAGCACAGAGAAGCAACTGACGGCGAGACAGCAAAGGGCTGCAGGGAGCTCTTGTGCTGTGGCGGGGGTTCTTGAGACGTTATTCGGAGGGCAGTGGAAAGCCATGGAAGGTTCAGACAGAGAAGTGATTGATGGCTGGGGTCCTGCTGAGGTGGCCAGCCGTCTGGCCAGGGGGTGTGCTCCCATGGCTTGGAACAGTCAGGCATGGAGGCAGGAAGGCCTGGTGAGAGGCCACCACCAGGGCCCACAGCTCACCTAGAGCACAGCAATGCAGGCCACACGAGAGAGCAAATTTAGAGGATGCCGAGATCCCTGGTCACTCCAGATAGAAAAGCTGCGGCCAGGGATTTAGCTCAGCAGCATAAGCCCCTGCCTGGCAAGCATGAGGTCCTGAGTTCGACCCCCAGAAAAAGAAAGAAAGAAACAAAGAAACAACAAAAGAAAAAAACAAAGAAACAAAGAAAGCCAAGAGAGGCAAAAGGAGAGAGAATGGAGACAGAAAGAAAAGAGGCTCTGTGCGGCACCACATTAACTCGCACACGGGAAAACCCGCCAAAACCTAGTACAACTGTGATGGAAATCATCGTGGAGGTTCTCTCGCAAACGAAAACAAGAAATTGCACTTGATGAAGCTATTCCCCTTCAAGGGATCCTCCCAAAAGAGTTAAAGACCCGGCATTACAGTGATCCACGCACACCCACGTTTATAGCAGCACAACTCACAGTACATATACTGCTCATTTAACGACTGACCTGTTTAACGACTCTTTGGACTTACGATCACACTGTGCAGACTTGCGATCTGCTTTTGGACTTATAATGCAGGGACACAGTAACAATGTAGCACAATAATTTTTGCTGATTGCACTGCACCATACAATACTGTAGCTTGTTTGTTTGGTTTGGTTTGGTTTGGTACCAGGAATCGAACTCAGGACCCTGCACTTGCCAGGCATCTGCTTTGCCATTGAGCTATATCTCAGGCCCCCAATACTGTAATTTTATATTGTTATACATTGTAGTGCTGTATGTAAGTCTCCTTTGACTATTTCTTTGTTCTAAATATTGTAATGTGCATACTATATACAATTCCTTATTTAGTGACCAATTCAGTTACAACTCAGCTGTAAACCAAAGCTCGGTCATTAAACCGTAACTAAATTAAACTGTAATTTAAACTGTAACTAAATTCTGGAAGCAGCCTATATGCCCATCAATGGATGAATAATGAAAAGTGGTATTTACACACAATGGAACATCGTTCTGTAATAAAAAGGACAAATCTGGCCCGGGATTTAGCTCAGCGGCATATGCGCCTGCCTTGCAGGTGCATGGTCATGAGTTTGATCCCCGGTTCCAAAAAAAATAGTGTACAAAAAGGACAAACCTGAGTTGTGTGTAGGAAAACAGATTCACCTTGAAACCACAATGCTGAATGAAATCAGACACACAAGCTTAAATACTGCTGACATAAGAAACTCAAAATATAAATAAAGAGCAAAATAAAAATAGGTATTAGGACTTAGGGAGAAGGATCTTTTCAAATGGGAAGGAGACCAAGAAAGAGATGGAAAGAGGGGGCAGAGAAAGAGGATGAAAACAGAATTGAGTTGCGCCGTGGCGCTGTCCAGAAGTTGCTCTAGAAATGGCCAAGTAAAAGTTTTCCAGCCCTTCCTGCCTTCAACAAAGCACTGGACAAGAAAAGCCAAAAATGACACACACGTTTGTTCACAAAGTGAGGGAGAAAGGGGTAAGAGGAAAACTGGCTCCGCAGAGCAAGACAAACAAAAGAGAGGAAAGGGTAACAGCAGAAACAAAGCACACACTGATCTAGAACACACCGTGGGTATCGTGAAGAGCCACTAGTGGGGGCTCTTGGCAGCCTCGCCCCTTTTATGCTGCCCACATCTCGCGAGAACCCTCGAGAAATTCCACATCCGGGGACTTGGGAATGATCTGGCGCTCTCCTGCGATCCTGATTGACAGGTCCCACTTATCTCCCCAGCCAGTTTTGCTGTCTCACCTCCTGGATCGGTGTACATGAACCAACTCCTCACGGGGAATGGAAACGTTATACAATGCAAACATGTACTAATAAAAAAAACCCGAATAATAATAATAATAATGCAACCAGACAGAGCAGGAATAGGAAGAGAAAGGGAGTATTCAGAACTACTTAGAAGGCACTAAGCAGTGTCAAGGAGCAGCCTCCCAGCCCTCATGTAGATGACTGCGACTTTGGGCAAAGTGACTGAATTATCAAATGCTCTTCACTGGCTAATGCAAGGTGAAACGTGCGCCACTGTAGTGTGTGTTTAACAAGAGTGTGAAACTCTCAGGCCTGGCTCAGGTTCCACTGCTGTGCACAGGAAGCCATGCCTATCTCCGGGAGACAGGTCGCCTCCCCTAGAGGTCTGCAAGCTGCCCCCCAGTGCCCGGGAAATGTGGGCAGAGAAAGGTGCAGATTAAATTAAGGATCTTGTGGTAAGGAGATGATCTGAGTTCTCTGGCTGGGCACGGTGTGATCCTGTAAGGAGACAGAAAGGTCAGGGTCTGAGGACGAGACAGGAGGAAAAGCAGGAGCCCAGAGTCAGAGAGTAGGGGAGGATGGGTCGCCATCTACCGGCTTCTGCTTGGAAGATGAAGGGGCCCTGAGTTAAGGAGCACTGGCGACCTCTAGCGGATGGAGGAGCTAGGGATCACCCGCCACCTACCACCCCAGGTCTCCATAAGGAACCAGCCTTGCAACACCCCAGTTTCTTCCAGTGAGACATACTGAGGGCTCTTGACCCCCAGACCCCCTCTTGGCAAGAAGGTGACATGGTATGGTTTTAGTCCCTGTGTGTGGGATGACTGTTGGAAGGCCACAACGTAGCAGGCCGTGGTGGCTGCAGGGGTCGAGGACAGGGCATTAGGACAGGCTCCTCCGACCTGACTTGGCTGACAGCAGGGGTTTGTGGGCTTTGCCCAGAGGTCACAGACTGGTAGTTGGAAGAGAGGGACACCGGGA